TTCATCGTTTTGCTCCGCGGAGGAGGTATGCCCTGAGTCAAGGGCATCCTGCTGAGCACTCAGTGCATCCGGAAAAGTTTCTAGAACATTTTTAACTGAAAATGAACTTACTGCACTGCCGATACACTTCGCACGTGCACGACTTGAGTGGACAGTTCGGTAAAGTACCCTTCAGTAAGTTGGCATAAAGAGTGCTGGTTGTGCACGAGGGCCAAAGTACTGAATCGGGCGGTACGAACCACGATTCATGCACTATGCCAACAGAGTTGTCCGCAAATATGAGCACAGCGTACATGACTGAAAAACAACTTCCAAATACGACATTTAACAGCAGAATATCCACATGCAAACGGAAGCTTTGATGGAATAACATAACACCAACACAAATATGTATATATATTTTACGAACTAATGAGTAAAATAAGCAATGAATGCATACATGCGTTGAGCGACAGTGGTGAGATTACTGACTAATCGATGAGGGTATGCAAAATGGAGAAGTATATACGAGTGTCTGTACGGGAAAAACCTAAGCGTTTACAAGATATTTGGTCGACCGATGCAAACAGCCGAGTGTGTTGCAAGTCGAAGCGTTGAAAAACTAAAACGTCCGTCGAAATCAATATGTGAGTGTAAAACGGGAGAACAGTTTTGAATTTCTGGTACGCAATAGTATCTTTAGAAAAGTCTACAATGACAGCTGGCTGACCATCAAGCAAAATGCAGTTGTCGGAAAAGTTTTTCGAAAAAACGACATCTCTATGAATAAACCTGCGACATCCGGCGGTGGCAAACCAACATCATCCAAAAATACCTTCCTTTCGACAGCATCCACTCCCACACCCTCGGACAGTCGGCGGTAAAGTTGAACGGTCGGTGGTTTTGGACCATGTTTGTAATGCTTCAAATGACCCAGCTCCGATTCATAGGGAAAACAGGAAAAACGATCCAAGCAACGAAACATATGTTTCGTCTATCATTCAACGTCGTTTCCACTACTTGGAAGAGAGTTATTGTCTAAAAAACCAGTGAACGATAAACGTCCGGCGGCTACAGGTCTATCATTATCACTAGCGTAACGTGCAAGTTGATGGAACGCATTTCAAAGCGGGCCATCCCAAATCATAGCAACAACAACAACTTGATATCCAACAACACAAATTCGAACCAAGCTCTTCTTGCATAAAGAACATGCTCATACTGATAGGCAACTCAACATAAGCTAAGGATGAAGGACTTAACAAATCCCGCGTTTTTCGATTTCTCAAAGGTATTCGGTCGAATCCCATATGTCCCGCTGTTCCACAGACTCCAGTCCTACTGGATTCACGGGAGAACTTTAGGTTTGACTAAGACGCTTTTTTCAGATACAACATTCGGTGTGAGGTTGATCCGGCCTACACCTCTTCGTCACCGGTCTCCATTGGAGTTCCTCAGGGCTTCGTTTCGGAACCACCTCTGTTTCTGATCTGCGTCAACAACCTTCCAGATGTTCTTTCAGGTCCACGACTACTTTTTACAGACGAGCTGAAATCCCAGGGTTCAAATGCCATGGCCTTCCAAGTGTGATGCTACACAGCAGTGGTGGTTGGGCTGGCACCTACCTCCGGGTGTCGAGGATGCGTCCATGTGTCATTGGGAGAAGACTCCGCGACCGCCTTTACAGTGCATGGTGGGAATGGACCAGTTGTTACGAGGACGGATACCATAAAGGGTTAAGGTTTCTAGCTCCATCCAAACAAGTCCTTATCATTGCATCATGAAAAGTTTGCTTCAAAGGTATTTGCCATCCTACGGACGATTCGGCGAGCCATCCATCGTATTACCTACACTGAATTCCTTACACTCTATGGGACCTACGTCATACCGCTTCTTGATTACGTCAGCTTAGTTGACTACCCAGGACGCCAGTAGGACGTAACCCTCGTTGAGAGCGTTTAAAGACCTGTTACGACAATGGTTGTTGGCCTTAGATTCGTCGATTATGAAATGCGTCTCGCAGTGCTTAATCTATTTCCCCTGGAGTATCGTCGCTTCTGAGGTGACCTAATACCTACATATGCCCTGGTTGAACCGGGTGTGGCCCACAGGTTTTCCTCCGTTGACCTAACCAACACGCGGCGGGTACATAATAAGACGATTTTGAAGCTCAGGACGCATACTTTTATTAGGCGATAGTCTCTCACCTCGAGGAGTTGGTGTGTGGGATAAACTTCCCCTGGCAGTTTATCACGCTGTACGCAGTTCAACTCAATTCTGGAAGCCTTTTATTTGATTCCTGGCCAGATAACCGCCGCGTGCTGAGACACTTACACAAGTGGCTGGCGTGCGAAACGTAGACTAGAAGGCTGAATTCCATCGCGCTTTGTGTAACGTGGTCAAGCTCTCCCAAACTTACAAGTAACTTCATGGAAGCGAGAGCCCAGGCCATGCAAACCGCTATAAAGTGTGATTGGGTATAAGTGCACGCAGGAGGAGGAGGGGATTTTTGTCCTTCTTGGGGGATTGAGAACTATGGCGCAATGTTCCGCTCAAACATTGCAAAATAACCATTCGAACGGTCTCTGTAAGAGGACATTCTTTCGACCGTTTTGTGTCCAGGAGCGAGAAAGTGCAGTCCTAAAACTGTTGTCAAAAAAAGGAAAATAGGGGGAAGCTTGTTTTGCACGTCCCCTTAGAGGTGTCCTTACGTGTCGATGTTGAAGGTGTCCTTGATTTTGCTTCTCTTTTACTCATTCTTTTGCCG